ACTAGCCAAAGCCAGAAACCCGTGAGCAACCAAAATGAACGGGCTCGTCACGGTCCGCACAGGATAGGTGGGGGCTGCTCTTCACACGCGGCTCCGGCGTGACTCGTTTCCTCAGTTTTCTTACTCTTTGTGGTTAGTCATTCGTAACCACCGCTGCATGCACCCGCTGGCCTGCGCCTCGGGGATGGGGCTCCCTGGCTGCTGGTGGGGTGGGGAGATGGCTCCAGCCAAGCACAGGGAGCTGGGGAAGTGCAGGGCACCCATGTCCCAAGGGCACCCCTGGAGAGCATCAGCCCCTGGGCTGGGTGAGAGGAGCCTGGCACATCCCACCGAGGCTGACCCGCATCCTCTGATACTGCGTCCAGTTCTGGGGCCCGCAGCGTAAGAAGGATATAGACCTACTGGAGTGAGTCCAGAGGAGGACACGAGGATGGTCAAAGGACTGGAGAACCTCTCCTATGAGGACAGGCTGAGAGAGCTGGGGCTGTTCAGCCTGGAGAAGGCTTCTAGCGGCCTTCCAGTGCCTGAAGGGGCTCCAGGAAGGCTGGGGAGGGACTTTGGACAAGGACAGGGAGTGACAGAACAAGAGGTAATGGTTATAAACTGGACAAGAGTAGATTTAGATGAGATCTGAGAAAGAAATTCTTCACTGTGAGGGTGGTGAGACATTGGCCCAGGTTGCCCAGAGAAGCTGTGGCTGCTCCTCCCTGGAAGTGTTCTCGGCCAGGCTGGATGAGGCTTTGAGCAACCTGGTCTAGTGGAAAAAAAAAAGCTGATGGCAGGGGGGTTGGAACTGGATGAGCTTTAAGGTCCCTTCCAACCCAAACCAGTCTGGGATTCTATGATGCTCAGGGACTTTTGGGTCCAAGAAGAGCCTGGGGGAGGGCACTCATCCTTGGCCTCCCACAGTTGAGTTGGGAGCACTGGTGGTGGCCATCCCTGCCAGCTGTGGGAGCTGGGGAGCAAACAGCATTGCTTTCCATTCCCGTGGCCTTGGTGCTCATCCCACCTGCTTTGTGGGGAGGGTAGGAAATTGCTGGGGTGGTTTGGCTCTCAGAGAGAGGATGCATAGGCTAAAAGGGGAAAAAATTAGTACCTGTGGTTGTAGGAATGAAAACCTTTCCCTGTGAAACCAGCACTGCCAGGTCGTGGTTTGGTCCTGACAGATCTTGGCACAGAGGCAGGGCCTTTAAATCCCCCCAGACTGTTTGTTTTTCTGCTTCATGTAGAAAGGTGTCTCGCTTGAGGGTTTCCAAGATTTCTGCTGACATCAGCCACACTTCCCCCGAATTTTATTTTAAACAAAATCCAACCCCAGCCTGCCTCTTTGCTGTGCCACTGCTGCAGCTCCAATTGACCCTGGGACATGGTGCTGCTGGGACAGGAATTTTTCCCAGTGCTGCCCTGTACGCAGCTCTCCTGCCTCTCGAAGGGCTTTGCTTATCTCCATGCAGGACACGCCTGGTCCCAAACAGAAACCCTCCCATTCCCCAGTGCTGCTGCCTACGGGCTGCTATAAATAACCCCGGGAGCACGGTTCAGCTGCAGCAGCTTTGCACCGCGTAGAGCCATGGCTGGAGTCAGTCCAAGAAAATGCCACCTCCTAATTTCAGATCCGCTTTCTCAAAATAACTCTTGTGTTTCCTTCTCTTCCATTTTTAAACTTCGCTTTAAGAAAAACCCACGCAAAATCCCAGACTCTCCCTCCTCTGGTTTCAGATGCTTTGCTGCTTCGTTGGGGTCGGTTCGTCATCCCCACGGGAGCTCACATGGCCGGGAAGTTGCTTCCCCCTCCCACGCCTATTTTAAGTCTCTTCAAAGGGAAAACAAGGGGCTGGAGTTTGCTTTGGAAGCCAAATGCTTTTTAGGCGAGAATGGAGATTTTCATAGTCTGCAGGAAGGCTTTTGTTGTTGGTGAAGATCTCTTTAGCTCCAGGCCTGTTGGAGGAGCATGAGATGGGGTAAGAGCACACCCTCCCCAGCCACGGTCTGCCTGCCCATGCCCCTGCCCACGGGAAGATGAGGAGGGAGGTTTTTTGGGGGCAAATGTTGCTGCTTGCCACATCTGTGGGTCCCTTTTTCCATCCATGGGCCCTGCAGTGACACAGATCAGTGTTTGCGGTCCAGTCACGCTTCTTGAGACACCTTGATCCCTCTGCAAATGTGGATGTAGTGGGCTTCACCTCTCCATCTGAGCTGTGCTGGAACATGCTCCAGGGAAGATGTCTCTGCCCTCAGAAGCGCCTGTGGTTTGCTTGTGCCGATGCGAAACCCAGAGGCACTTTACCTGAGCAAAGCGACTCTGGTGGTAAATGGGAGCAGAACTCAGCCTGGGGGCTGCAGTCGCTGTGCCAGCGCCGCTGCTCCCCGTGCTGGAGCAATGTTTCAGAGCTCTGTACTGAATCAGGAAAAGGGGTCATTAGCTGCTTGCTGTGGAGCTGCAGAGGGACTATAAAACCAGTGGGGATCTTCATGCATCTCACCAGAGGTAATGGCTAGATTTGCTTCCTCATACATTTCTTTCTGTTGAATAACAGGGATCGCAGGCACGGGCGGGGTTATTCAGCAGATGTAGGATGAACCCTCTGGTTTCCTTCTGCAGGGTCAATCATGAGTGTTCTCCTGTTGAAATCAATATGGGAAGTGAGTCCTGTGTGGCTGTGGGTTTAGCAGGGCTGCTGGTGGTCTTCAGCAAAGGTCCTGGGAGAGCAAGGGGCTGCCCTTGCATATGGGTGGCTTGAGGTTTCCCTGAATTCCCCAGCCAGGCTTCTGGCTAGCTGGGTCCCCTGGTGGGACCATGTCTCCCTGTGTCTGTCTGTCTGTCCTCCAGGATGAGCCCCAGTATGGTGTGAACCTTCTACTGGGTGTAATACATCCTTTCCCATTCTGCCACCAGCTCTCACCTCGGTGTGCATGGTCTTTCAGACAGCTCATTACCGTTCTGCTATGATCTGATAAATGCGGTGAGGAGCATCATCAGCGATTACAGCGGGTGTCAAGTGTTAATTGGGCAGCTTTCAAGATAGAGGCATTTCTTTGTGTATGTACAAAGATATGACGTGCTCGGAATAGCTTCCCCTCCTGATCTTTCGTTCTGGAGACGTGTGCATTACAGTAGTTAATGCAAGACAAATTATGTCATTCTTCTTGATTCGCCACATGTTCTGCCTATGGTGATTTGCCTCTGGGTTGTCTCATTAAGTTGTCTAAACATGGCAAGTGCAGCAGCTGAAAATACACGGCTTTTTCCTCAAAGTTAATCGTATTGTACACATGGGCCTCCAGCATCATCGGTTCCTCCTTGTGCCACCTGCCGCTGCCAGGGCATCTTTCACCAGCGCTGGTGCCCAGGAGAATGGGCCTTTGGTGGGACCGGCTGCCTCGAGCTGAGGCTGCAATCTTCTACCCACTGTTACACTGCCCACAGCTAATCAGGGTGCTGATTTTTGTCCCAGGTATGCACCAGAAGATATTTGGGGAAGCTGATGCTTCCTGCTCACCAGCACGTGGTGGTGGGCAAGAGGGTGGTTGGTCGAATCACCCTCTTGGCAGCAAATAAGGTCTCTTTTGTAGCAGTTTTAATACCCTCCCCTGAAAATCTTACCTCCTGGTTTTAATTGTTTAAGGTTCCCACATGCCACGGTGCTGATGTTCTCCAAGGTCAGATTTTGTAGCTCTTGGAGACCAAAATATGGTCAAGTTGGGAGTTCTCCATTGTGTGATGAATATTTCCAAGGGACAAGTTCCTGGACAGACTTGGCTTGTTCCCGTTGATGGAGTCAGGTGTGCAGTGCTAGAAATGCCTAACGCTTTGAGGGGAGCCAGGCCAGGCTGTGCTGCTCTTGGGTTTCTTGCCCGGGCTGTGTTTGTTGGGGTTTGATTTCCCTATCATCAGCTGGTGCATCTTTGGGGACAGCAGAGATGGGTGCTGCGTTAGTGGCGCTCCCCTTCTTTGTGAACCTGATGGGAAATCCCATCCTGGGGGGGCTCTAGTGCTTCTTGGGTTAAAATGTTGAAAGTGCTTCAAAAAAGGGTTTTCCCATCCTCCTTCCCCATGTTTAAATCCTGGGGAAGTTCAGCTCTGCCCACTGCTCCTTCACCCCTATTTTAGACAGCTGTGGCTTTTCACTCCCCCTTACCCCAAAATAACTAAAACTACCTCTTTTATTGAACAAATGCCTCTGAAAATCCATCTCCTTGCCCTGCTCACTGCCAGGTATTTGGCTTTATTGGCTGAGCCCCGTGGCTCGTCGGCAGCGTGCAGCGATCTGGATTTATTGGACTGTCAGTAACCCCCACTGAAAAGCCTGGCTTTGCGAGGAAGTGCTGTTTACTGAAAATGTCATCTTTTATTTAGGCTCCTGCTCCAGCCAACCCATGTATTTTTTTTTTTATTTTATTTTATTTTTTTTTTTCAGGCTTGTTTAATTAGTAATCAGCACACAGCCCCTGACACGTGTTCCTGGGTGGTTGTTTTTTCCTCTAATAAGCACTAGGTAGCTTGGCCGGGGGTGGGAGGGGGCAGAGAAGGGTTCCTCTGCAGCAAGGAGGGGAGGGACATGAGAGCAAGATGAGGAGCCAAGGGCAGCTCAAATCTAACGATCACATGCTTGTGAAGAGATGAATCCTAGAAAGGGCATCTCTGCCTGCGTGCCGGCTCGCCCGCCCTCCTCCTCGCGTGGCTGCTGTGCGGAGGTAACGGGTGCGATCCCCCCACCCGGCACCCAAAGGGATCAGGGATCCGGGTCGCTTCCCAGGCAGAGCTCGGGTGCATTGAAGTCGTGATAACTCCGGTGCTGGAGCCCTTTGCCTGTGGGGTTTTCCTGCAGGTCCAGAGGCTGAGCTCAACCTTTCCACCCGCTTCCAGGAAGGGCTGGGATTTGTGGTGGTTCTGGTTCTGGGAAGGGTTTTTAGCACGGGGAGAGCTGGAGCAGATTGCTGTGACCATAACTGATGACAGAAATAACTTTTCTTCTCTCTCTCCCCTTTCCTCCCTGCAGAAGAAGGCAGAAGCTGCCCACCGGATCCTGGAAGGACTGGGACCTCAGGTGGAGCTGGTGAGTGTTACCTCTGGTTGCGAGGAGTGAGGTGGGCCAGGTTTGGAGAGATTCCTGGGCGGCGAGCGCGGCACCGTGTGTGTGTGTGTGTGTGTGTGTGTGTGTGTCTGAGCTGGCAGGAGGAAGCTGCTGCTGGTCGGGACCTCTCCTGGCACCTCACCAAGGCAGGAAGCGAAGTGGCTGAGATGAGTACTGAAACCAGGCAGATACACACACAGCTCTCTTCAGAGAGCCTTAACCCTTCAGCTCCTTCCTCACACGCTGCAGCGGAGCTGGGCGGTGGAAGGGGCTCCAGCACCGTCTGCCTCTGCTCGGGATGCTGATGGCTTCATCTGCCGATGGGCTCGTGGTGCTGCATGGGAGGGATGGGTGCTGGGTCAGCTCTCCTCTGTCCCACCCGGCTGTGAACAGAGGAGGGTGCTGCAGGGTGCTCTGTCAGCACAGGCTGCTCTCAGCTGTGATGACCTGCAGGTATCAGGACTCGCACGTGTCCTGTTGCTGTCTCCCTCATGCACAGGGAAGCTGAGAAAAACAACTTACAATGACTTATCCATTTGGGGCTGTCCCCTCATTCAGCAAAATCCATCTGTAAGTCAAGTGACTGCTGGAAACAACCCCTGAGGAGCTCGGTGCTGGAGAAGGGTGCTGGCAAAGGCTGTGTCTGCAGCAATGCTGCTGGAAGGGTCAGAGGGGACAGACATGGTCTAATGGAGCATCTCTTGCTTTGCACCAACTTTGGGGTGCAATGGAGGGAGCTGCTCCTGCGAGGTCCCAGTGGGCAGCTCACACACCTCGACAGCTGTGATTTGGACGTGTCTTGTGGAGGTGGCACTAATCACAACCTTCCCTGGGTGCATGAGGGAGAGGTCACAAGGGAATTAGTGCTCACTCCACGTGTCAAAGCCCACTTCCTTGTTTGAGGAGGCAGCACTCATTATTTCTTCCTTTGAGTCACCAGGGTCAAACCCTTTGCTCTCTTTCTGCTCTGAAGATTGGCAGTGCCTGGGGTTGGTGCTTCCCCACCCAGAAGATGTTGCATTTCCTTTCTTTGCTCTCTCTTGGATTGCTTTTTTTTTTTCCTTTTTTTAGTTCTTTGATGCTTTTCCCCTGGGTGCTGACACTGCAAACCCTTCCTCTGTCACCCAGCCTTACTCCTGGAGGACAGGGGAAGCCTCTGCTGAGAAAACCCTGCAAAACCTCGGTGTGGCTCTGCATGTGTCTTGCAGTCTGTCTCATCTGCCTGCCCAGAGAGAGACACTTCCTATGGCCCAGCCCCCGTGCCGTGTCAAGCAAAAAAAGTACCCAGGACCTGCCAACAGCCTCTGAGAGATGAGATGAATAGTCAGATCTTCTTCTGAGCTGGAAAGGAAGCAGCTCCAGGAAGGAGAGCAACTTTGCATGCTCTGCCCGGTGTGCACGCCTGCTCCGCGGTGTCACACATGATGTGCACCAGCCCTGGAGCTGCCACAACCCAGAGGTCTCTTGCAGTCTGGTGCTAATCCTGTGCAGAACCTCTGCGAGGAGCGGTGGTGGCTGTCACCCAACTGCAGGGACTTGGATCGCTGCCGGCTCTGCTCAGGCCGCTGATGTCTTGCCTTTGGTTGTTCAGAGAGCTCTGGTTGTTGCATTTGCATCAGCAGTGGTGACGGATGCGCATTGGCTTGGTAGCCGGGCAGCTTGCCAGAGACTGATGGTGTGAGGCAGGAGGTCACGGTGGAAATCAGTTGGTCATGGCAGAGAGAGGCCAAAGGTCACAGAAACGGTGGCCAGGAGCAGGGTGAGGTGGTATGAGGTTTTGGGTGCTGTGGGCAGGACGGAGCCAGAGACTGCATCCCTGGCTTGTGCTGGGGCGGAAGGGCCGTGGTGGGGTTCTACCTTCTGTCCTGCTGGTGGCAATTTGCTCCACGGGGTTTGTGTTTGAGAAGTCTGATCTCCTGAGCACGTTGATGGGCTTGGCATAAACAGGGATTTACCCAGAAGTTTTGGGTCTGTGTCATGAGTTTCCCATCAAGTTGGAAGCTGCTGAGAGATGACCCAGCTCTGGTAGGAAACTCTTAATTCCTGACTTGGGTCTTTTAAATAGCTCCCTCTGAGCTTTCAGGCTCAGAAGTTCTTCACTGAAACTGGTGTCCTTGGGTTGTACTCTCAAGGAAGCAACAAGTGTCTGTTGCTGGTTCCTGCTTCTCACTGACCTTACAAGGTCTGGCCCTGCACTTTTTATCTTAGAGGTGTCATTCGCGTCTGATGGTCTTTGGAGGATCCTCATTTTTGTTCTCCTGAGGCTTTAAACCTGCAGATTTGTACCTCAATCTCTTTTCCCTTTGCTGGTGCTTCTCCATCCTGTCTGCTGGGGTTTTGGGTGGCCTTGCATCTCTTCCCTTTCCCCCACATCAGCCCCAGCTGATGCAGAACACAGCGGTGTCCCGCACGGTCATGACTGCTGCCCTCCCCTTGGCTCCATGTCCCTGTGGCAGGAGTCACCCCTGCCCAGGGATCTCCAAGAACCTGGTGCTCCCCTCTAGGTCAGGAGGAGGTTGTGACTCGGTAAACCAGGACTCTGCTCACTTCACCCCTGCAGGGTAGCGGGACCATTTATTTTTAAAGTGACCCCATGTTTTCCCCCGGGAGAAATGTCATTGAGATGTGCAGTCTGAACGCTGCTGTGGCCAGAAAGCAATTGAGACTTTTCATTCTGTTGGATTTTTAAAGAGCTTTCAGTAAATCAGTTTCAGTTTTCCAGTAATAGCTTTGCATTGCAATTATGTTTTTCTTAAATGTCATCCCGCAGAGAAATGCATGAGATGTCCCTTACCCTGGAGAAGGAACACTGTGGATGTTTTGAACATGTCACCTTACCTAGCTGATCTGTCAGGTTTACTTCTGCTTACTCACTGAGAAAGTTGTAATTCTGTGTGGGTTGTGGGTGGCTCTGAGGAAAGATGCTGCTTCTCGGTCCCTGCCCTGTTGAGAGTAAAGTTCCTTTAACTGTTTAGTCTATGAAGGTTTGTTCTCTGTGGGGTAGGTAGAACTTGTCTCCTGGGTTTGCTCCATGGGCTGCATTACAGTGTTGATGCTGTTGTGCAGACAGAAATCTCTTTAAGATGCTGATGTCATGTGGATCTTGGGTTTGGGTCTCAGAGTTTCTTATTTCTGAATGTTTGGGCATTTCTTTTGAAGTTTTGTGTTCCAGTACTTGTCTGTTAACACTTAGATTTGCTAACTAAGAGTTTAAGTGGCTGTTTGTATCATAGATCAGTAGTAGTGGAAAAGAATCGACAGTCTTTGGTCAGCTGAGTGGCATCAGGGCATCTGTGGTGTCCACATGCACGTGATCATCTTCTAACCCAGATGCAAACCAAAATGTTTACTCCACCACCTCCTCCCAGGAGGAAGGTCTCTGTGACTCTGTGTGACACTCTGCCATGTGTCAGCCTTTTCTTTGGTTTTTATGAGCACAGATGGAAGAGAGGCACTTTTATTTATCAGTATTTCCAGTTCCTGCAGTCCTCAGTCCTCTTCCAAGAGGCAGTCACTGGTCAAGGCCGCCCAGGGGTTTCTCCAGTCAAGCCTTTCCAGAGTGACTGTGGACGTGATGCTCCAGAGCCGCAGCTTGATTTCTTCTCTCCGTGGTGCAGACCTGCCTCTCTCGAGCTACGTGATGAGACGGATGTCTGTGTTCCTCTGAGCTTTCCAAGCGTGAAGTGCACAGCCAGCGCTGAGCCTGGAGTTGGACCAGCAGATCTGAGAGGATTCATGATAGAAATACCCCTGGGGAAGGGACACCACTGAGAATATGTCTTCTTTTGGGGACCCTGCTTGTCCCCTCTCTGCCCTGGCACTGTGGGCACAGGGTGGCCGGTATCTCCTTGCAGACGTGCAGCCCGCTCCCCCTCACAGGGTAACAGATGCCTGAGGGCTGCCGGCAGCGCTGCAGCCCTCCTGGGACACAGCAGTTCTTCTCACCATGCCTGGTCTCCTCTGCGTGCCTCTTCCACGTGGGGGTCACATGTGCTTCCCCAGCAAAGAGGGACGTGTCCAAGGGCAGCCAGAAAAAGAAGCTGATGACCTTCTGGTGCCAAGATGCAGCGGTGATGAGAGCAGTGCAGAGGAGGGAGAGCTGTGCCCGGTCTCCTTTCTGTGCAGGTCCATGTGGTTGTCCTGGTGTGTGCCAGGGCAGAGCTGAGGCACTATCTGCTTTTTTATGGGGTGGTAGAGACTGGCTGTGTGTGTGGAAAAACAACCTTCTGTGCCAAGCACCTGTGAATGGTGATGGGGAAACACTGTGGAGGTGGCGAGAATAACACCTTCTCCAAACTGGAGGAGAAGGGGACCCAACGGTGTTTGCAGGTCCTGTCCTCAGTGCTGCTCACCTGGTTGAGCAGATGTTTTGCTCTTTTCCTGTGTTTAATCTGAGATGAAATTGAGTGGATCCAGAGCGTAGCCTCAGTCGTATGACCACAATAGGAAGGTGAGCTGTTTTGTGTGTAGCTGTGGCCAGGATGCTGCCTTCAACCAGGACCTTCAACCATCACATGTCCTCCTGCCTGTGTTTGGCCGCAGATGTTAGATCGCTCACAGCTGGTTTGGTGAAAGCTTGTGGATGAACTGCTTGAAAACTTGGGCGATGTTTCTGTGGTTGGATGGCCAGTTGCTGATGATGGCTGGGCCTTGGAAAGCTTTTGATTAGCACAGTCTTGGACATGTTCACACCCACTTAACTGGTAACTAGAAAAGCATTTGAAGGGCTCAATCCTGAGCACCCTGTCAGCCTGCCTATGTGGACACAACTGGTGGCAGCTCCTGAAGCATGACCTGAGCTCTTAATCACAGTGGGTGGGATCAAGAGTGGTCTCTGTGGCATCTCTCCCTCATGGCAGGTTCCTGGAGGGTACATCACCCTGAGGATGGGAAGGGAGAGGTAGCGGGGACAGTGACCAGCTGAAGGTGACCAGGGATGGATCCAGCTCTCCTGACTCCCCACAGAGGGCCCTGGCATGTCCCTGCTGAGGTTGTGAGGGGCAGAGCAGCCCCATGATGGGTGCTTGCATCTGGTGTTGGAGACAGCCATGGTCACTGGGCTCTCCAGAGGTCAACCCTGGCCAAAACACTTGTCCTACCAGAGCCCAGTGCCTCTCCTGAGGGACAGACAAGAGCATCACTCCACACATGGGTACCGGGGGGCTGCAGTGACATGGCTGGGGGCCAAACCCTCTTCAGCATTGCTGGAAACCACAGGGATGAAGACTCGTCCTGCCCACAGTTGCCTGCGCTTGGCTCCCTGGAGAGCT